ACAGGGCGATTTCTTTGGTTTATCTGATGTTTTATGGATGTATGAAGTGGATGAAACCAGGCTAAAAGTAGAGGGTTTCAAGAAGTCGTGCTGAGGGACTTGGGCTTCAAGTTTAGGCAGCTAGCCATGATAATAAGGCCTGATAAGTCTAGTGTGCACAGCTAAACCTCAGATAACCTCAGATTCGCCCGCCACAACCAGAACGAACATCGCCCTCCAAATCTGGGCACCAGCTTTCAGGCTTGCTAGGGTTTGGGGGCTCTTGGGGTTTCTGCAGTACAGCACCCTAACAGCGACGTCTCGAGGAACTCACGACTGTGGCTAGAAGGCCTAAGGTTGTAGGGGTTGTAAGCTCTGCAAGCAAGCCGATGCTCCAGCTCGAAAGGCTCGTCGAAGCATGCATAAGCTTCAGAATGCCGGACAGATCTGTAGCAGCTTTGAGTCAGCCCTAAACTCTATACTGTAAATGCTAAACCCTACATCCTAAACCCTAAATCTTAAAACCTATGCCCTAAGCCCCAAATCCTAAACCCTATACCCTAAATCCTAAAACCTGAACCCTACAACTCCAAACTATCCGAAGCTTACCGCCTCTGCTGCTGCAATGGCTTCTTCTTTCGCTTCAAGAAGCCACGTCTTCGAAAAAGCGCCTTGGTTTTAAACATCAACCTGTCAAACACACGTTTGTTTACTAGGCGTGCCGAAACTCTGCGGGCTAAGCGGGAAACTTTGCCAACCATGTCTTCGTTGCTCTCGCATGAGTAAGCCATTGGGGAAATAATCCACTCAGCTCCGCTTCTCAAAGCAGTCAGCATTTCCTGACTGACATGATGTAGAGCGTGAAACTTGGGTTTGAGGCCAAAGGCTCTGATCTGCAGAGCCTTGGCCTGCACCGCACAAAACATGTAGCCTCGGATCGTTGTCGACAGGATATGCTGGGCTCGCTGAGCACAGTGCCGGGGAAGCCAAAGCTGATGACTATGGAGAATCTCGAACAAGGTGATGGATGACTGCAATGTAGAAGTCAGTGCTTTGAGCAATCGTTTCTCTGTCGGCTTTGGCTTCACCTGGGTCCGAAGGAAAAAAAGGAGCCATCTTGAAAGTAGAGTGCAGTCCGACCCCTTGACATTGGCGTCTTACAGTTGAAGTTCAACTTAGTGAAAGACCGAAGGGCCGCTGTCTTACTGGCTCCTAAGCACCAAAGGCGGAAGCAGGAGTGAGCTCGTTCGAGTCGGTCGTCTATGTTTTGGGTACACCCATCATCAAAGTCAAAGAAACCCAAAAGGCACAGAACGACCACCCCACTTCCTACGAGGTCTCGGCCGAGACCCACCTTCCAAAGGTGGAAAATGTCTAAGCGAAACATGGCCGGACGACACAGCGGGTCGAACGGGATGCTGCTGAGGGCTGGCGGGTCGTCCTCCGGCCACGGTTCTGACACACAGAAGGTGTCTTCCCAAGCAGGCGTGTCTTCGACACTTTCGAAAGGGACATTCGGTTCACCAGCTTTGCAAAGGTGGCACATCGCTAGGTCCTTCTCTTTGCCGAGGTTGCGGTAACTTCTCGTCAAGTGACCTATCTTGTGATGAAAAGCCATATCTCCTTTCAGTCCTAGGAAGCCGCCGTAAAAGTGGCCGTGGCCAGGAACCTCTACTCCATTGGAGCAGAGATCCTCCAAGTCTTCTGCTAGCAACCGAAAAGCTTCGAACATCAGGTCTGGATGTTCTTTGTACTCTTTGGTAGCCATACCACAACACAGAAACTTGGATAGGTACGGATGCCCTTTTGAATTGCAATGTTGCTTTGATGCCCGGGCTCTTTTGGGATGTGCTTGCACATCGAGGTCGTTGTAGCGTGACAAAACCGGGTCATCCTTGCACGTGCAACATTGCATCTTTGCAGAAGGGCAACAACCAAGGCAGCTCTCTACTGTCATGATCAAATAGTTCGATCGCTTCAAATACCTACCCTCGTCGCCATGCAACAGGAGAGGTATTGTGCGACGTAGTCTAGAGCTGGAAAAAACTTGGTGTCCCGGGTGAGACTCCCGGTAGCACTCCCAGAAAGCTTGCAACTGGTCACCTCCATGAGTTGTAGTGCCAAACATAGCTTCGGGATGCTTTACTACCAGGAATTTCACCCATTGGCTAGGCCGAATCCAAGGCAGGTGGATAGGAGCTTCCCCTGACCCTACTGCGTAGGAGATGCACTCTCTAGGCACCCTAAACCCCAAGTTGAATGTCGACAACATGTCGTGAACATCCCTTGAAGCATTGGCATCGGTCATCGCCTTTGAAAACTTAACAGCCGAAGCATCATTGCCTTCGGACCTCGCCGCTCTCACATTCTTGGCGATGGATGAAGCCGGAACCTGACAAAAAAAGGGTTGGTTTAGGGCTTAGGATTTGGGGGTCTCGGGTTTAGGGAAAGGGGTTGAGGGTTAAGCTTTGGAGGTCTCGGGTTTAAGGAAAGGGTTTAGGGTTAGGTTTTGTGGGTCTCGGGTTTAGTATTTAGGGACAGGGATTTAGGGTTAGGCTTTAGGGGTTGGAGGTTTAGGCAAAAGGGTTTCGGGTTGGGCTTTGGTGTTATACGGTTTAGGGAGAAGGGTTGAGGGTTAGGTTTTAGGGGGTTAGTCAGTAGTTCTGGAGCTTAAGATTGAAATGGAATTGGAGGGGGTCGGATGGCCAGAATTCGGCTTGGGTGGCTAACTTTGATTTTGCTCTTTACAGTCTCGATTGGTCAGGGCCCAGGTTTGGCGATTCAGAGTTTGTAGCGATGCCAAGAGTCACGAGAACTTGGGGGGTTACGGTTACGGCTTAGGGGTCTAGTCTTTAGAGACTAGAGGGTTTGCGGGTTTAGGTATAGACGATCGAAGTCCGGGAGAAATTTGGTCTCTGCTGAAGGGATCCCAAATCTATAGGAGCTCAAGATTATGATTTCGCATTGTTATGTGTTATCGGATAGCACACCAAGGTTTTCGTGTATGCTCATGCATCAAGCAAGCTAAGGATAGTTCGGGAACACGTTTAAAAGCCTAGGGCTCTTGCTCGGCGCTTATCAGAAAGGACAGCCCCACGGCAGGGAGCATCGGAAGTTAGCTTATGGTTTGGGACTTTAGGGTTCAGAGTTTACGGTTTAGGGTTAGGGAAGGGTTGAAGACTTAGGATTAAGGGGGTGGCTTCCGGGTTCGGGCATTGCAGTTCAGGTTGGGTGGCTGCACTTTTGCCGACTTCTCGAATGACACACTTTAGGGTGAAGTTTGCATGTTTGGAATTTAGAGCTTCGGTTTGCGAGCTTGGGGGATGAGTCTTTCTCTTTATAGGGCAACTAAGATCCTACAACCACACAACCAGAAGATGCACTTTAGTGTTATTTTCAGTGATCCATAATCCGAATCCTTGCCCCCCCGAAGAGGCCCTCAATACCCGTACTTATAAGTATAATGGGTAGTCAAGTAGGCTATTTGTTCGGGCCGAAAAACACTACATACCTGAACCCTATAGTACTGGATACTATAAGCTAATATAACATCATTTCTCGGGAATCGCACGGGATTTCGGTGTTGGGGTTCATGGTTCACCTCGAGTTCTAGGGATACTTATGGGATGATCTTGGGTATCTAGGTCGAAGAAAACTGAATCCCTAAACCCTCTAGCCGTATAGTACTGAAGATTATGAGCTAAATATCTCCTCGGGGATTTCGCGGGACTCAGGTCTTGGGGTTTATGCTTCACTTCGAGTTCTAAAGATAATCATGGGATGTTATTGGATATCTCGGGTTCCTCCCAGAAGCTTCAAGCGAATCTCTATGTAGGCAACCGATTATAGTATATAGAGCCTTAGATTTATGAGGTTTGCGGGATCTGAGCAGCAGGCCCCATCTCCATAATCTTCAGCCCATTGCTGTAGCATCGGGCCCGGAGTCGTACCTGGCGGGGCATGGGTTCGAGGAGGCTAAATCAGTGAAGTCATGTTACAGTGCAATAACATCACGGCTCTTCTGTGCAAACTCTTTACTCCATCCAGCCCTGGCTTTGCAACTGCATCGATGTGCGGAGTTCGCACATCTAGGAATTAAACCTGCTGGAAAAAGCTCGGTCCTGGAAACTGACGGCTAAGTTTAGCTATATCGATCGCACAACAGCCTGCGGCACACAGTTCGTAACACCAACACCCAGGATCAGCAGCCTGCAGCTTTGCAACACTAGTCACCTTCGGCGAAGCCTAGCCCTGCTTAGCTTTTGCCTTTGCTTTGCCCTTTGCAGCAGCTCCCTTAGGCTTGGCAACCCTTGCTTTCGCTGCGGCTTGCGGCTCTTCGTTGGTCTCACGGCGGCGGCGGGATCGGTCGGGCTCCTCGGCAGTCACGGTCTTCTCCGACGTGGAAATCACGGTCCTTGGCATGGGGGACTTCTGAGGGTGTTTGATACCTGAGAGTTTAGGTTAAAGTTATTTAGGAGCAGTTTGGGATGTGTTGTTTAGGGAACCGACTCAGGGCTTCGGGTTTCAGGATGTTGAGTTCAGGGGTGAGTGCGAGTTGAGGAGTGGTGCTCTGCTGCGAAAACACATTTGGTGTACTATGTGTGCCTGTTGTAATTTAAGGTCATTTTAAGGGTCTGGTTTAGGATCAGTTCAAGACTTCCCGACTCCGGTGGTGTAAGAGTTATCTTAAATCCTACCATGATCCCTACTCTGAACAAAATAAGCAACTCCGGCGGATTGCCAATACTCGAAACCCTAAGTGATCCCTGCCCCCTAAAGGAGAACCCTGAAGCCCCAACATCAACCCCAACCCCAACCCTAACTGCTTCGATGTTCAATCACAAAAATACAAATCGACCAAACCCCGAGTGGAACCCTAAACCCGCTTAAGACTGGTAATCAACCCCAATCCCATACCTAGAGGCTCATACCCTACCCCTTTTTTCGGATACCTAGTTTTATGGTTAGAACCTGTTATCTTAAAAAATAGGCGCCCTAAAAAAGTGGTAGGGTATGAGCCTCTAGGTAGTGCCCTGAACCTGAAAGTGACACCATGCCGAGAACATACTGATGCGTTCAGTCGGGGCCTTGGCACGGGGATCCAGAAGGTGGGCCTGCACACACCTAAGAGGGTAACATTCGGCTTCTAAGAAAGCGAAGAACATGTGAGGCTGCAGGATGTCGGCGGCGGTAGTATAAGACCCGGACAGGTTCCGGTTCTTCACAAGTGATTGGCGAAGCTGGCCCTGCAGCCTTAAGTCGTGAGGGAGCACGAAACTTGAGGTCAGGTTGCCTTTGTGGCTGTTGACAGACAAGTTACTCACCATCGTAGCCATCAACCATGCCCTGCTCGTAGAGCTGGTTCATCCTCACATCTTCTCCATGCAGCTGCTCGTGCATCGCCATCACTCGTTCCGTCATCCTTAGATACATCCGCGGTGCGTGGGCGGTGGGCGGTGGGGCATCCTGTAAGCATATGCTCCCTACGTGCAAACAAGTAGCTTTTTAACTAGCTCTGTGCTCACACACTTGTTCAGCTCGAGGAGGTGGGCTGAAAGCTTCCCTAGGCATTTCTGTATGGCAAGACCTGCTTTGGGCACAATAGACGAGGGAACTGCAACCTTCTCAAGGTCTGGGAAGCATTGCAAAGTCTTCTTGTCAACCCCAGCCAAGGAGGGCCCTTGCTGTGTTGCAGCGGTTGGTGCACTGCTGTCGGCACCTGGGCCGGAGATAACCCAAACCCAACCACGAAAGTTTACAAACCCTAGGCCCTCGTCCCTAACCCGCATAGCTCTAGAACCGCAGAGTACGAAGTCACACGTGCAAAGGGCATCCAAGCAACGACTCTACGGATCTTGGGGTAATAAGAAAGGCTGCTTAGGATGGTATATGGGTTGTGCGTTGTGGTTTGAAAGTGTAGGGTTCATGGGGTTCTGTAGTTCTTATGAACGGTATTGGATCGTAATCGCAGTACTATATACTAGTGGGAATGTTGTTGGTTTTCTCGTACCGAAATACCTCTCGACCGCCGAACCTATTCCTGAACACATAGATGAATTGGGGAAAAGCACCTGACATGTCCATCTTGGCAAAGTCCATTGCCAGATCATTGTCCTCGATGGTTCCTTCCTCTTCCGCCTCGACCATCTTGCGGAGGATGGAGCGTTGTGTCTTCCTGTAGCAATCGGATTACGGTTTGGGCGATGTGGGCTTCCGGTGTGAAATTTCGAGAAGCCAAGCTCGAGAATTTGGGGTGCGTGAGTTGGGCCTAGGGTTTAGGGTTCAGGGTGTAGGACATTTAGGACTAAGGTTCAATCTAGTGGTCAATCTATTGGGAGTTGGTGTTACGGGATTCACATTCATAGGAAAGCATAGAAAGCTCAAGTTTCAGAGACTGCGGTTGGGAGTTGGGTGTTGAAGGACCGACTAAGCAAGGTTGAGGATTTATGGTTTCGGAGCTGGCTCGTGAGTTTGCCGGGCCCATATAGTAGTGTTATGAACAGAAGGAAATCAGAGGCTACGGTTTGGGGATTGGGCGTTAAGGACTGGGAAGTTTCGGGTAGTGTAACTTAAAGATTAATTTTCGGGGGTTGAGGTTTGGCATATGGTGTGTGTGTTATGTTCGAGGTTCGGGATTTGGCATGCAGTGGTTGTGCATTTGGGTTTGTAGCACTGCATGACTAAGCTTCAGATTTTGAGATTCACGGTTGGTGCCTAGTGGGTTGAGAGTCTCATTGTGCAAGATTCATAGGTCCTTGCTTGTACCGAGTTTAAGGTTTGTGGTTTCTTAGGGGATATAATTCTCGGGAACCTCCGGCAGGCTTAGCTGTAGGAGATAGGTTTTGGGATATGATCATCAGGGAGTGTTCGCAAAGCTTTATGATTTGGTGCTTGGAGGTTTTGCTAGTTTGCAGCTGAAAACATAATTACCCCGAGCCACTACAGTGTCCGACTGGCATCATTTCCCACAGTAGCCAAGTTTCTTCTTGCTCCCGGTGATCTTGATGTTGGTCCAATACATCGTCTTGTTGTCGTACAAGGTCTGCCTGCCAACTAATATAGTTGCACAAAGTTTGTCAACTTGTCACACACTGTTCATCTGGCACTCGGTCCTCTTGAAGCCCTTCTTGCCCTCGCAGTGCTGCTTCACACCGGCGATGCGTTCCCTTGGGAATCAGAATCTATTGCGTAGCCTAATTAGACGGGAATGCCGTGAAACTACTTGAGGTAAGGTTCTCCGACCACTTCAGTTCTTGCACATCTTCCTCGGTCAGGAACTCCCACTCTTCCTCAACTTCCACCTCCTCCACACTCTCCAGTGTCTTGTTGACCTTCTTGACGAACTTATCCTGGGCTGCTAAGGATTTTAAAGTTATTATCAAAACTAGGGTCTAGGGTTTAGAACTAGGGTCTGGGGTTTAGAGTATATACATAGATAGAGTTTGCGGGCTAGACACAGGGCAGAACCCGCAACGTTCGAAAGCACGGACGACGTTGGGTCTCGAGGTCAAGTTCTTGTATTCCGCAACGACACTCTGTGGGACCAAATAACTACCGTCCTCTCGGGGGCGAAACACTCGCCACATGCGTTTGTAAACCGCCCCCTCGCTGAGAACCGGAAGCTCTTCCGGGGGCTCAGGGCATTCATCGTAGCTGCCATCATCGAACTGCATCTCCACTGCCAACATCGGGGCTGCATCGGGGCCCTGTGCCCACATCATCTTAGGCTCAGGCTCGGGCTCATGCCCAGGAGGCCCACTGCGTGCACTCCCAAGCCCTTTGCCTCTTCCCTCTGGCAGATTGCCACCTTTGCCCTTGCCCGGTCTGGACACTGGCACCATGGCACAAGTAGATGCCGGAGGTTGATCTCGCCCGACAATCGGAAACTGCGATCCGTCCTGCGATCGATTAGCTAGAAAGAAAACAGCATCTGAAACCCATGCAGCTCGATCATCTAATATTGGCGTAAGCAGTCCTGGGTAGGCTCGGCACCGGAGGTATCACCAGCAGAAGATAGAGGGCCCACAGGGTCTGGCTGCCATGGTGGCAAAGGGTCCTCTAGCTTGAGTTCAGGCGAAGGCAGAGACGATTGAAGTGTAGCACCATTCGTCAGAAGCTCTCGCTGGGTTGGGGACATAGCTTCTTCCACAGGCTTGAGTTCATACGAAGGCGACCCCAGAGACGATTGAGGTGTAGCAGCATTCGCCAGAAGCTCTTGCTGGGTCGGGGATAAAGCATTGCCCACAGGCTTGGAGGCATCCGAAGGCAACCCCAGGTCCGCTTGGACAGAATCAAGAGTTCCATCAGCTTGTGTATCCCCTAGGCACTTAGTGTCTGCATGCCTGAGACTCCAAGCTCCAGGAGACATGTCTAAGTTCTTCACATTCCTACCGCCAGAGCGATGAAGCCTTGCAGCAGGAGGTTGCATCGGGGTGGCCGGCGACGAAGCCACTTCTATGGCTGCGAACATCGGCTCATCCATCTGACGAAGCATCTCGGCCACCTGTCGAGCCCGCTCCTCTTCAGCCTGCCCAAGATCTAGAAGTTAATTTAGATAGTAGGATTCAGGTGTTTTTGGTATCGTTGTTTCAAACACAATTCTTCTCTTTGCTACAGCACCAGCAGGTGGCGGTGGCAATAGTAGTAGTGGTAGTAGTGAATGTTGTAGTCGCAGCAGCAGCAGCAGCAGCAACAGCAGGAGTAGGTATTATTAGTAGCAGTGATAGTAGTAGTAGTAGTAGTAGTAGTAGTAGTAGTAGTAGTAGTAGTAGTAGTAGTAGTAGTAGTCATAGTAGTAGTATTCATAGTTTTCAGTAGCAATAGTAATAGTGGTGGTAGTAGCAGCAGAAGCAGTAGTAAGTAGTGGTGGCAACAGTAATGGCAGCAGTAGTAATTTATAGTAGCAGTTGCAGTAGCAGTAGAAGTAGAAGAAGTAGAAGTAGCAGTAGTGGTAGTGGTAGTGGTCGTAGTGGTGGTAGTACTAGAAGGAGTGGGATATAGGAATAGGGTCAGGGGTAACATAGCTAAACAGCAGCAATAACTGGGTAGCCCGCATGCCCAAACCCCCAAAGTCCCAAATCCCCACAGGCAGGCACCCCTGACCCTTCGAATTGATCCGACCCTAAATACCTAGTCCTCAAGCCCTAAACCCAACCCGAACCCTAAGCGTAATTCTGGGGTGTATCTGTGTATCCGCGAAAAGGATCTATAGGATGTGTGTGTGTGTGTGGGTGTTTGTTTGTGGTTGCTGTTGTTGCTAGGTGTTGCCTCAAAGCGGGAAGCGGGGATACGATTTACGATTACTGCCAAAATTCAAGAACCTACCAGCCTCTAGGCGTGCAAGCTCCTTCTCCATATCGTCAAGCTCAGCCATAATGATGGCTTGTTCGGGGGACCCTCGTACAAGACTGCCGTGGGACCAGGCACTGCTTTGCATGGCACAGACAAAAGCAGAGATTGCAGGATGGTACGACGGTGCATGTGGGAGCCGACACACACGAGTGACAATTGCACACAATCCTCGCAGAAAGCTCAACTTTAGCCAACTCCCAAGTTGGCTGATCTGGCCTCCCGGGCAGTTGCGCCCACTTCCCGTGCAGTTCCGCCCACTTCCCGGGCAGTTCCGCCCAGAATCTTTTACCGATTTTGGCTGCAGAATGCCGAATGTCCAGTTCAGCCCAAATCCCAAACGAATTGTTTGGCTTGGACGAAAACTAGTGATCTAGTGCACGAATACAAGGGAAAATCGGAAATCTGCAATGTTACACACAACTGCTTCATAACATGTTCGGAAGGAGGCACTGGTAGCCGTCGGACACGGACAGGAGGCATCTGCTCCTCAGATTACAATGCACTAGGCAGCAGCAGCAGCAACAGCAAGAGCAACTCTGCATTTCATATGAAATACTGCAATCTGCACACTTTGGCTTTGCAAACTGCTGGGAAGGATGCACACACGACGTTTGGGTTGCAACCAAGCCAGCGAAACTTCCACGGACAATGAATGGTTTCAGCCGCCATACGACTAATTCGCAAGCTATTTCTAAGGAGCCACACAAACTGGTCGAGCACGGACAGGAACCGCCGGCTCCTGAGATATCACACGAGCACCGGCAGCACCGTAAGTGTTGGGCATGTAGCAGCAACAGCACAATACAGCTTCCCACACCTTGTGTTTGAAGCTGCACACAGCGAGTTCCCAAGCTATGTTTTGAACGAGGCACACGAACTTGTCGGTCACGGACAGAAAGCAGCTGTTCCTGAGATATTGTGGGGAACATACGATAGCAGTACCAGTGGAAGTAGCGGTGGAGGTGTATGCTGTTGTTGTTGTTGTTGTTGTTGTTGTTGTTGATGTTGTTGCTGTTGTTGCTGTTGGTGCTGTTGTTGTTGTTGTTGTTGTTGTTGTTGTTGTTGTTGTTGTTGTTGTTGTGTTATTGTTGAAGTGTTGCTGTCGGTTCGCTTGCCTTCGCGGTTGGTTGTTTTTGTAGTAGTAGTCGTCGTCGTCGTCGTAGTAGTAGTAGTAGAAGTAGTAGTAATAGTAGTAGCAGTAGTAGTAGTCGTAGTAGTAGTAGTCGTCGTAGTCGTAGGAGCAACAGCAGCAGCAGCAGCAGCAGCAGCAGTGGTAGTAGTAGTAGTAGTAGTAGAAGTAGAAGTAGAAGTAGTAGCATAGTCTGCGTGGCCATGTTTTGCACGAAGCCAGGATCTCTTTTTATCAGAATAGAAAAAAAAATATATATATATATATATATATACACTCCAGCACAAAGCTCGTAGCTGCTTTTGGCACCAGGATAGTTGAGGGTTAGGGCTTTAGGGTTTAGAGGGGTTGGCTCAATGATAGGGCTGCAGGTCTCGGTTCCAAAAGTTAAAGGGTTGGGTCTGTAGAGTTGTGCAGATAGTGGGGCTCAGGGGTTTGGCGTCGGGGTTCGGGTTTAGGGTTTTAGTTTAAACCTCGAAGGCAACCCACCCCCTGATTCTACATGCTGACCGGGGCACGAAACAACATTCGACTGTGTGCATCGAGGAGGCACTTGGTTCCTGGGCAATAAAAGGGTTGGACATGGGGTTGTTTAGCTTTCAGCTATCGGGGTCAGGGGCCCACGATGCGATGAAGCTCGCACGTGGCTCGATGCTTCTCTGCGTATTCTTTCGTTGGGCTTCCGAGAGTACTTGCGAAGCAGGAACCCATTCCTAGTTGCCATTGCAAGCTGCTCAACCAATGTCCCAGTTTCCCTTCACACTGGTCGGGCAGTAATTAAGTATTGCAACAAAGAAGCATCACCAGAAGCCCCGGATAGTTGCAGCCAGCCCATCGTCAGGATCACGAGGACGTAGACCTGGGACCCGAGGAAATACAGTTTCTCTTTAAGCAAATACCTAACGAGGCTCACCAACACATAGCTGTTCGGCCGAAGGGCTCTCAGTAGGCTCATCGCGATCACCCGAGGAGCGAGTCTGCTTTATCCGAACCGACGACATGATATGGGGGCGGAGCTACTCTTGACCGGCAAGGCAGGACCTGCTCTTGAAGAGGAGCTACACTTATATAAGAGCTAGACATAAGGCATTAAACCAGATCTCAGTTGGTTGGCTGCTTGCACTCTACTGTTCCTTGATGGTTCACTATGTGCTCTTGAACACACATGCACGTCAAGCTAGGCCACACAGATAGATCTGATCTGCAGATTCCTATGGACGGGCATATTTATATGGACGTGCATGAAACCCTTAAAGACAGGTCTGGCTCGCATCGGGCATCATTCTCCGGAGCCGGTAGCCCGCCGGCTTTCGCAAAAGCCGCCAAGCCTTTTCGCAGGCTCATGATGGCGGCTGCCAGCAGAAGAAGTACCTGGCAACTTTACAGCAAGGAAGGGGTGCTAAATGGAGCTTATCGCAAGGACCAACGAAGCACTGCAAAGGCAATTGTTTTTGAACCCCATTCGGAACTGGTGATGATCGCAAAATGCAACTTGTGCACTCTGTGCACAGCGACCCCGCCCGGCTCGTGCCAACAAGCAATCGTACACACTTGAGTGCAGTCATAGTCTGCGTGGCCATGTTTTGCACGAAGCCAGGATCTCCCTTCTCAGAATTGAAAAGATACTCCAGCACAAAGCTCGTAGCTGCTTTTGGCACCAGGATAGTTGAGGGTTAGGGCTTTAGGGTTTAGGGGGGTTGGCTCAATGATAGGGTTGCAGGTCTCGGCTCCAAAAGTTAAAGGGTTAGGTCTGTAGAGTTGTGCAGATAGTGTGGCTCAGGGGTTTGGTGTCGGGGTTCGGGTTTAGGGTTTTAGTACGGCCTCAAGCAAGTTTGTTATCCGAAGGGTTGCTTCTCTCGGATCGCAGGAGATTGGCGGCTACGGCGTATGCTGGCAGATCTGGTGGGAAGCGGATTCTCGCTTCTGACAGCGGGCGGGAGGCTTCGCTTCAAGATATGCATGTATAGGGAACCGGGGAACTTACAGGGACCTACTAGTTAGTACCTAAACACAACTTGTAGTATTCCTTAGAAGGGGCCCCCACCCTGTAATAGTGACCATAAGGATTATATAGGATTATATTAGGGCCCTAATATATTCCTATTATACCACTATTACAGGGTGGGGGCAGCTTCTAAAGTATTCCAGCCTCTCAACCCAAGTGTACACAAAATCCTACAGCGGCGGCTCTAGCAGGATACCATCTAAAGGGCACCCTGGGGCCTCGCTGGACAGGCACGATAGCATCGGTCCAAACCACATCACGTCTAGCTGGGCTCAGCACAGCTTTTCAAGAAGTGTTGCGAAATCTCAAGGGCCTTGTTCTTGAACGACTCTTGAGACGTAAGCGTAAACTCAGCAGTCCACGTCGTGAAATACTTCCAGAAGGCATCCTGCAGGAAGTGGCATCGGGAGCTATTGCGAACCTGAACCCTGAAGCCCTCAAACCCCCCAAAAGCACGTAACTATACTAGTCTAGAACTAGATGAGAGGTGTAAACACTCACCGTGTTAGGTACTACCAAGCTATACACTCCGAATGCGAACGACCCCAATCACATTAAAATAATGGGACCTGGTTCAAAACCTTAAGCCCGTACTAAATCTCAAACCTCCTTATAGTAGCCCTGAAGATCCTCGTACTTGCCAGGGAAGCGAAACTTGTTGGCTAGCTCCGCCTCGAAGACTTCCTTCAAAGCCAACCACTTCTCACGGCCTTGCCGTCCTTCCGCCGGACAATACCGCCTTGCAAAGGTCTTCTTGCCATCCACAGCTGCATCCCTGGATGAGCCTGGCTTGCTGGAGGGCTTCTCTTCAGCAGGCAGCTTTGCCTTGGATGTCCGTGGTTTCTTGGAGGGCTTCTCTTCAGCAGAAAGCTTTGCATCGGATGTCCGTGGTTTCTGGCAGGGCTTCTCTTCAGCAGAAAGCTTTGCATCGGATGTCCGTGGTTTCTTGCAGGGCTCGTCTTTGGAAGCAGGCTTTGCCACACGTGGTTTCTCGGAGGGTTCCTCTTCAGCGGGCGGCTCCTTGGCTGCTTTCTTGAACGTGTTCTGCGGGGTAGCGACAGGCCTCGGCTTATCCTCACTCGGCACCTTTGCCTGCTTTGCACTGGGTCGCTTGAAGGCTGCCGCTTGGCGACCTCGTCCCCTGCCGCCGCCGCCTGCTGCCGCCTGGCTCGTCCTCTTCCTCGCCCCCGGCCCCGGTTCTTTTTGGGGGCCTCGTCTGCATCATGATTGTCGGACCCTTCGTCCAACTCACGTTGGTCCCTTCTCCTCAAGATCTCCTGCAACAAAAGAGATAGCAGATCTAGAGAGAGAGAGAGAGAGAGAGAGAGAGAGAGAGAGAGAGAGAGAGAGAGAGAGAGAGAGATATATATATATAGGGGCTTAGGGTTTAGGGTATATATATATATATATGGTATCTATATACCACCGATTATGTTTTGTATCTTATATTATATAAGATACAAAACAGAATCGGTGGTATATAGATACCAACGAAGCACTCCGGAAGCGGAGTGGACGAACATCAGTGGAGCGAGAGAGGGAACGAAAGCCTCTATGATGCTGCTGACAGGATGCTTATAACAAGACTCGGCAGATGCCAAGTTTGGCGACTCGGAGAGGGTTCGGGAAGTATGTAGCTCGGGGTATAAGAATTCTAGTTTAGGTTCTTTTAGGGGGCTTAATTTGTTAGGGTTTAGGGTTTATAGGGCTTATTTAGTTTTCTGCTTCGGGCTGATGCAAAAGTTAGCAGCTCGGAAGGGTCAGGAGTGTACACTAGGATTCTTAGGTGGTGGGTTTACGGCTCGGGGAGGGTCTTTGAGTTCCTGGACAAATATGTTTTATTTGGGGGCCTTGGCTTGGAGCTTTGAAAGCGCCTTTTCTGATTAGGGTGCTTAGGGCTTCGTGGATCGGAAGCAAACCAAAGCCCTCCCCCCCAGCGATGACAACACTAAGCCCAACCCCTTGCAAAAGCCCACCTTAGCGATGAATTCACTAAGCCAAGCCCCTTGCTGAATTTCTGTAAGCCATAAAATTAAGAACAACCTTAATTGATTTGAAGACGAGGCCTTGGCATCGAAAAGATCCATCTCGCTGGAATCGTCGGATTCACCGGCGGCTTGCGTAGGCAGGGGGTCGGGCTGCAGGCTGGGGGTCACAGGCAAGGACACGGCTACGGGCTGCGGTTTGGCCTGCTCGGACTCCAAGGGTTCTGGCAAAGACTTGTTGTCTTCAGGCTTCAGTGGCTCGGGCGTCGGCGCAGACCTGTTGTCTTCAGGCTCCAGCGGTTCAGGTGTCGGCACAGGCTTGTTGTCTTCGGGCTCCCGTGGTTCGGGCGTCGGCACAGACTTGTTGTCTTCAGGCTCCAGTGGTTTGGGTGTCGGCACAGACTTGTCGTCTTCAGGCTTCGGCGGTTTGGGTGTCGGCACAGACTTGTCGTCTTCATGCTTCGGCGGCTCGGGTGTCGGCACAGACTTGTTGTCTTCGGGCTTCAGCGGTCCGGGTGTCGGCACAGACTGATTGTCTTCAGGCTTCAGCGGCACGGGTGTCGGCACAGGCTTGTTGTCTTCAGGCTTCAGCGGCTCGGGTGTGGGTTCAGGCTGCACGGGCTCTTTGGGAGCAGGCACAGAAGGTTTTGCTTGGAGCTCGGCAGCACCACGACCTTTGCCACTGCTCGCTGCGTGAGCCACCTCAACCTGAGTCTCCTCCTCCGTCGGATCGGTCGGTCCTGCAGAAAAACCCACTACATGTTTCGGGTTAAGGGGCTAGGGTTCAGGGCTTAGTGGTTAGTATTTAAGAAAGACAGGGTCTTTAGTGTTGGTTGCTTGTTCATTTCGGGCTACGGGCTCCGGCTAGGGTTCAAGGTTTAGGGTTTAGTGGTTCGTGCTTAGGACAGATACAAGGTGTTTTGTGTTGGCTGCTTGCCTATTTCGGGTGAAGGAGCTAGGATTCAGGGTTTAGGGTTTAGTGTTTAGGGAAAAACAGGGTCTTTAGCGGCGGTTGCTTGATTATTATATAGGTGATGTAAGAATTTCGGGTGTCATGTTGAAGGTTAGCCACTCCGAGGCTTCAAACACAAACCCGAATCCCGTAAAAGCAACAGTAAACCACCCCCGATAGGATTATAAGAATCATAAGTGCCTCCCTTCAGGGCCAGCTCCTGACAGCATCGATACACCCCAGTCTGAATCTGAAAAGCCCGGACCCCTCAACATGCCTTTGGCTGCTGGTGCTGGAGCAGCCGCTGCCTTCCGATCGGCGATCTGCTTCCTGATCAGCACAGAGCATTGCGTCTACAATCTGGGGTCAGGGTTTTGATTCGGGTTCAATTCAAGTCGCTGCCGTATAGGGGAGGGGTTGGATTATATATAGTTGGGGGATGTTCACAAATCACTAAAATCATTGCCGATCCTATCAGAGTGCCTCAGCAAAGCGATTCGAGCAAGTCGTTCAGCACGTGCATCATCAGCAGCTGCTTCCATTGGCTCGGCTAGCTTGGGTTCGGGTGGAGGGACAACGGCTTTTACCGGGCTGCCAGGGCTTGCAGAAGCTTTCGCTGATCCTGTTTTGATTGGCGTATCTGTCGGCCTGGGCCTCCTCGGCGACAAGTGCGAGCTGAGGTATGAATTGTCAAGGTAACTTGACACCATGGAACTGGGAGGTGTCTGGATGGGGACTGCCAAGGGTTTTGCCACCGTCTGCGGCAAGGGTTCCGGTGTTTTTTCCGGAGTTTTCAACATAGCAGCATAAGCCTCGGATTTCCTTGGCGTGAAGCCTAGCCTCATGCCAAGATCAACATCCTGGATACACTCGCTGGAGTCAGACGGCTCCAAATAGGCATCATCCTCTAGCAGCTCCTCCTCGCCACCCTCCTCATCATAGCACTCATCATCATCATTCCCATCGGCCTCGGCCTCCTGATCCTGAGCCAGCTTAGCAGCCTCTGGACCGAAAATCAGCTTCTTCCCCGCCTTCCTCGCCTTTTCTATCTCCTCTGGTGTCGGGGTCCAGTATTGGCGGTAGACAGCATAGAGACCCTCCAGCGTCGAATCCTAGGGATGTCATCTTTTCTTTAAGGGCCCCTCCCTCTATCATAAACAAAGCCAACACAAACAACTAGAAGCAACCAAGCAACTCGTTTCTTCTTCGACGTGAACAACCGTCTGTTAATCAACGTCTGGAACCCCTTTATCGCATGCCCCTCGCAGTGCACACTGGCCGGGTCATCGGCCATTTCGAGATCTTTTCGAAGCTGCTTGGCCTAACACGAAGGCGATCTGGTGATATTCATGCAGCTAGTCGAAAACTAAGCTGATGTACTTTAGACTTTCAGGCCTGTTTCTTCAGTGGCCCCACATTGAGGCCCAGCTTGTGCTTGGATTGTGGACACAGTATGGAAGCCACGGATAGCATCACAGCCTTGTTGAGCTTCAAAGCCTTTTGGGAGCATATGCCTGTTCGCTGAGGATCAGGCCATTTGAGAAGGGTTTTGCCCTTCAAGATTTGTGTTCTGCATGCTTCCCGATCCGCCCAAGCAGTCGCGAGTCCATCAACATGCCCCTTTGGTGCATAACTTCTCTTCTTCTTCAACTCAATCTTCTGGGGTTCATCAGCCATGGCGCCCACAGCTCCTAATGTAGTATGGCTAACCAAAATGTGCCTTTAAGATCAACAGATGGAAGAAGAGGCATGCATGGACTGTCTCACAATCTCGCTCGAAGCAATACAAGCAGGGGCACGATGGCAAACGAAGAGGGTAGCCACCTGTCCGAATTTAAAGTCGTACAGAATCAAAACCAGGTGACTAGGTTTCCAAGCCAACTGTTGCATCAATGAAGAAAAGCGCCTGGACTCGGGCCGAACCATGCCCACTGTAGATGGTCACCTATACGGGATTATGATTTTCAGCAACAAGAAACATTTGCAACATATAAGCATACTTCGGATGTCGCTGCTGGCCTGAGAAGTTCTCCCAAGCCAATGGCGATGTGATGTGTAGTCGAGTGCCACCTGTGACACAAGATTCATTTGTTTTTGTTCCAACCCCAAGTAAACCCCAAGTGATGCTAGTTCCGAACCTGTGCAAAGTGCAGAGCCGAAGTGAAGCCGATTGCCACCTGCCAACGAAGGACTAACTAGCTTCAAAGCTCTATGTATGTCTACTTCCGCACCTGTGCAGATGTAGAGCTGGCCCAAACCAGTGAGGTCGATTGCCACCTGGGAACGATATATGGAGTTACTACAAAGCTCAATCTGTAGACCTACTTCGGCACCTGTGCAGAGGTAGAGCTGGTTCACACCAGTACGAAGTGAAGTAGATTGGCACCTGCAAACGATACTACAAAGCTCAATCTGTAGGCCTACTTCGGCACCTGTGCAGAGGTAGAGCTGGCCCAAGTCAGTACGAAGTGAAGTTGATGGCCACCTGCGAACGATATATGGAGTTGCTACAAAAGCTCACTGTATATCTACTTCCGCACCTGTGCAGATGTAGAGCTGGCCAAAACCAGTACGAAGTGAAGTCGAGTGCCACCTGCAAACGATGTATGGAGTTGCTACAAAGCCAAATCTACATATATTTACTTCTGCACCTGTGCAGAGTAGAGCTGGCCCCAAACCAGTATCGAAGTGAAGTCGATTGTCGCCTGCGAAACCAGGACTAGCTGAAATTGCAGCTCACCATCCTTCTCATTCCCCACCTGTGCAGCAACTGTAGAGCTGGCCCAAACCAGTATGGAAGTGAAGTCGATGGCCGCCTGCGAACCCAGGACAATCATGATTGAACCCTGCCGGTAATACTACTAAAAAGCCTCTGCAGACGTAGAGCTCACCCGAAGCCGCACCGAAGCGAAGTTGATAGCAGCCTTTATCGGGCTACCATTGATTCGAGCTGCACGAAACTTCCCAATCCTATTGTATGCACCTCCGCAGGGATCAGTAGCTTCACCGCCGTCACGAAGAGTGAAGCCAATAGCCACCTTGCAGATGTCTTCTAGTCTAATTAGTTTATAAATCTGACCCTTGCGAGCCTGTTCCGATGGCACCGAGAGCAAAATCGATGTCCCCTGCGTGGGCCCGGGCAGTGGGCTGTGCTGATTTCTGTGATTTCCGAGCAGATAATCATCTGCACTGCACAAGACAATGCCTTTTTTTACCCGAAAAGCACTGCGAAGTGTGACTATACCTCACACCTGTCCCGTGCCGAGAAGCCCTTCATACCCGCATCATCTTCACGAGCACAGCTCACTGCACATCAGCATGCTCGGCATTTTCAGCATCCTTGCCTTACAAGTGGCACACACTCGAGAAAGCACAAGTAGCCTCTACAGAATTAAAACCGTCCCCGATTAAGGCAACTGAGTCACTCAGGGTACGATAAGCTCGATACAAGGTCCAGGTAGCTCCCCTGCGAAAGAAATTCTCCAGGATACCTTTGAACTCTTCATCGTTCATTGTCTTGACCTGGGCTAATGAAGCTTGACTGTGGCTAGGCTTTCAGGATTTGGGATGACAACATCAATCTATCGATCCGAAATCTTGCCAGCTTGCTTGCTCCTTCTCGGGATAAAGCACGTGCCTGGCTTCCAACCAAAATTCATCGGGAAGCTCCATCAAGCCTGACCCAAGAAACCCCCAGGAGCTTGCTTCATGATTTACATACTCTATTTGGATGCTGGTGCAACATGATCAAAAGGCACCTGCGTGGTATGCCTTATGAAAGAGCTGTGTCGAGACAGCCATCGTGCACCGAGCACTCGCGGATAAAAGAAACTTTGATCTTCTCGAGCCCATAGATAAAGGGATTTCAAGGCGTTTGATTCAATCATAGCGACTGCACTGCAAAAGATGTGCACAGGAGCGGGTGCACCTGAAGCAAGGCCCAAAAGAGAGCCCCCAATCATTCTAATGAGCCAAGATGTAGGCAGCAGGTTCATCCCAGGGCCACCAAGAGCCTATAACACCCGAACCCCACACTTCAGCCCACTTTCCCACATCAGCCCATTAGGCTATATTTCATATTTTCACGTTAGGACCTAAAATTAGACAGGTCGTTGATGACACAGGTATATGTATATATATATATATATATATATATATATGATTGTGTGTGTCTGTGTGCATATGCGTCTGCATGCGTGTATGTGTGTGTGTGTGTATGTACGTATGTATGTATGCATGTGTAACAGGGTGTGTGTGTATATATATATATATATATATATATATATATATATGGCACTCACACACACACATAGTCTACGCCCAGGCCTGCACAGTCAACACTGCCGTGAGGATAAGCGCTGAGGTAAACGTAGCGAGCCGCTGCCACGGAGATCTTCAGGGCTGTCAGCTTCGACGTGATTGTGGTCAGGCAAGGTCCGTGACTCGCAGTCGGTCTGACTCAAGCAGGGAGGCTGTGCCACAACTCAATCTGCTCGGACTTCTTTCTTATCGCGACCGATTCGCTCAATAGCTCAACTGACACACAGTAAACGAAGAGCTGCGGCTATGGTAACGAACAGGCGCGCACAGTTGATGGATGGGTGCTATTTAGAAGCCAACCCAAGGAGGGACTGTTTGATCCCCCATCAACCGCTTAATGGGCGAAGCATTCTCTTGGCAGCAACGCTGGACTCTGCTGGAGAGTAATTACGTCGACTCTGGCTGGGTCCATTTAAGGCGAAGAATGGCAGTTGCCATCATTCGTGGGTTCGGCGCTGCGGCGCTGAGATGCGAGCCACACAAGTAGGGCGAATGATGGGGCAAGTTCAAACACGGGGCATTTGCAGCCTGAGGGCAAGAAGACGTCCTATAGCTCCAATGCAGATGGTTCGGGAGCATGTACGGAGTAGCAGGATGCATCTTCAAATCCCATGTCGGGCGCTTGCCGTTCAAGCCATACTGCCATCAAGACGGCATAAAGGGTACATTGAGCACATTATGATGCTGGGACGTGGTCGGTGGGGCAAACCAAACCTTTCTCTGACTGATGTTTCAACGAATGCCGAGCCCCACCACACCAGTTGAGCTGGGAATTTCTCCAGCACAGTCGCATCGTCCTACCTTTGAGGTTCTGCTCCCGCCTGGGGACGCTTGAGTGAGCATGCATGTGCTCGAACTTCTGATGGCAATTGCAGAACCCCAGCAGAATCGGCTCGTTTCTCCTGAACGACCCAAACACCAAAATACAAATTCCCATGCAGCTGCATTTGCGCGGGTTGTCGGGGGCGCGAACTAACAAGATAGCCAACACAACATGCTTGAATAGCTCAGTGAAGATAGTAGGGATTCTCTAGCCACATTGACATAGTCATCACCTGGCTCGGTGCTCACCCGGCGTGAGCGACAAAGTGATGCTCGTAGAGGCGCAGGCTCATGTCCATGAGGCGCTCGTCGGGCATCTTCTTGCGGAGCTCCTCCAAAGCCCCTTCCTTGGCCTCCTTCTGCTGCATCACCTTATCAGCCACAGCCTCGTTATGCTTGGTCGCCTTGTCTGAAATCTCCTTCATCTTCTGGCCGCGGAGGTCGGACTTCTTCAGCAAAGCCTGCTGCAAGCGATCTCGGGCCTCTTCCGCCGTCATCTCGCCTTTTTGTCTCGAGGTGTCCTTGACTTCGATCACCTTCTCGATGTGCTGGGCCGCCTTCTTCTTAATGCTCGCAAGCGCATCTTCTCGGTTCTCTCCGGCCTTCTCAAGTTGCTGCTCCAGGGTCTTCTGCTTCGCTTCCGAAGATGTCTTGAACTCATCTCGGACGCGCTGGGCAGCCTCCTTCTTTTGCTCGTTCGCTTGGCGCGCTTTGTCTGCACGCTGCTCCCTGAGCAAAACGGGGCTCCGGGCACCAAGAAGTGTCGGTAGGTGACTTGTCGGCTTCTTCTCGTAGGATTCCAATCGAAGGCGAGCGGCGGTCTTCAACTTGTCTGCGCCGGGGCTCTTGATCCTGGGTTAGGGTTGTTTTCAAGGGCCTTCGTCAACCCCCAAAACGTGCGACATTACATTACATTACACTTCCTGAGAAATAGCCAATAGCCAAAGTTCTGCACCTCGAAAGCAGCACCCGTCTCTTTCTCGGCGATGGTGGCGATCTCCTGGAAAGGCCCAATGAGCATCCTACCACAAGGATCCTAACACCGGGTTTGGGCATGTAGGGTTTTGTTGGCTCCTACTTCGCAAGGTCTCGGCATTTCGCACTCACGGCATTAGGGTTACAAGTATATGAAGGGGTTCTGGGATGTTTTGACACTCACACTCGGACAAAGCCTGGCAAGGTCTGCAGCGATACTGGTTCTGGGATTTGGAGTTCTAAGGCTAGGGTCTAAAGTAGGTCTGAAGATTCAGACTGGGCTTTTCTGATTTTCTACACAAAATACGTAAATGAGGAGCTGTAAGGAAAACAAGAAAACTGTAACACATGATTCATGCCCGTACAGTAGGTCATGCGGACCCAGGTATTTCGTTCCCTTGTGATCCTTATCCTTAGATGCTTTTTGGAGCCCACCCTCCTGAGGAGCCATGGCAAGCGTGCGATTGAGGCGGTCTCACCAAGCGAGGACTTGAACCCAAATGGCTTAGCCACGCCTGTCGCGCTGTCTGCCAAAACCTACGGGCCGCGGAGACCGGAAAGTTGCTGGCTTTGAAGCTAATTGCAGAAACTGTGCCTTCTGACCAAATCCGACAGGTTCCTCATGTTGCTTCTGCAACAAGCCCCGATGCAACGCCGAAGCAGCTCGGGGCCCTCTTCTGCGCCTGGCACGCTCATCAGAGTCCGCCGCTTTCTGGGTATCCGCTCCCCGGGGACTCGGAAGAGTCTGCCTGCGACCGAGCGGTGGAGCTTTACAGGGCTTGGGTTGGCTGTTTTGTATTTTCAAACGGGTTCGTGGTTTAGGGTTGGGCTTTCACTCTTGCGTTTGCATCAGTCGTGAAAGGGGAAGGCCCTGCTGTTGAGGAGTGTTAGCTGCCACACATGGGGGCTCTAGGGCCTAGGGTTCTCCAGGGTTTTGGGTCAGGGATGTTTACAAAAGCCAGGTAAAGACTGGCAGATTCCTGTTGCAGTGTGCTGTGGCTGTGACGATGAAGGCTTGCGACTTGCAGGTTGAGAGATGCAGGATGCAGGAAGCTGCTGTCTTACATGGGACATCCCACGATACAGCCCTGCCAAACAGTAATGCCACACGGACCGCCAAAGAACAGGATTACATCATATGCTCTAGAATGCTCACTGGATTGACCTCTCTTTAGACGTGGGGTGGTCCGCGCCACTCTCCACAGAAGAGGCGTCCTGAACAAGACTACTTTTTGCATGCAGTGGATACAGTGTTGGATGAGGTTAGATACAACTAGGACGACACCAGCACTACGACGCCCGCAGCTACTCGACCTGGCTACGTACCGTTTCTTCCCACGCCACTACGAGTCCCAAGCACAGGTATGTTCGCCCATAGCCAATATTCCGACTCACTCTTTTTGGCTTTTCGCTGCCAGGAGTATCAGCGAAGGCTGCACAGCCGGAGGTCATGCGAGAACGACCCCTTCGGACTTACGGGCATCCGATAGTTGGGGTACATATAAGATTGTTGTATGATTCTACTTGCGCTTTTGTGCACTGCAGGCTCTTGTTGTATGTTGTTGCATCTAACTCCGTTTCGACCCGAGAACGCAGCCGTCCTGGTGACGACAGTACTAAATAACTCCCAGGCATGACTTACGAAAAACTTAGAGAATGCATTACATCTGAAGCCTGCGACCGATTAACCAACAACCGGCAAAAAAGCATTGCCAACCCAACCCGTCAACCTCCGAAAATTGCACGCCGTCTCCTAGATGTGGCTCGGTTGAGGGGAGGGGTCGTCGTCGGTGCAAATAGAATACAGCATGCAAGCACTGTGCCCAGGCACGTGGAATGACGTAGACTTGACAATCAGCGAAGACCCAGTTTCAGCATTGTTTGTTGCGAAGGGAGGTTCTACGGGTAGGCTTGCGATTGCGTTGGATGATGCTGAAGTCAGGTACTCATTATAGTTATGGCAAGGGCAAGATCCCAGCACTGCGGCTTGGCGGCAGGTTTGGGAATCCGGTTGTCAGCTCCTCGTCCGCTTGTCTCTCAGTGCTTGGGCCTTTTTCAACTGGTTCCCGCCCGCGTGCCATGACAACATGAACGCGGCCGAGAAAGGGAAAGAGTGTGGGTCTTCGGAGGTGGCAAGGCTCAGCGGAATCGTGAACTGAGCCAAATGAGAGAGATACTACTCTCACATTAAGGGTTCAGCTGAAGACGGTAGCTGAGCACTGCCACCATTGAAAGCACGGCTAAGCAATGCGAGCCATGAGCTGCAACTGCTGCGAGCTACTGGGCTGAGGCCTAAAAACCCCTCTCGTTCAGCGCTCCCCTAGCACATCAGCCCATCATTCACAAGGGTTTCGTTTCACATTTCAAGGTTGTAGAAGGGCGGTATTTTACAAAGCCTGAACCTTTTGAGGGTTCTAGACGGGTACCGGTAGTATTCGGCTCGAGCTCCTGCCTCCGGCAAGATGAATATTTGTTGCCTCCCGCATTGCTGTAGGTTACATTCCAGTGACTTCTGTTAACTCGACTTCACCTGGTTCATTCCAGCACATGACTCTTGTAAAGGACAGCCGCCCTTATAGGGTTTACAGATCCTCTGAGGGCTCAAGAGGGGCAGTTTAGGGTTGGGGGTGAAGGTTAAACCCTATAAGCCCTAAACCCCCTACACCCTAAAAAATCCTAAAATAACACCAATCCCTAAACCCCCCAAAGCCTTAAACCGACTAGACCCCAAACGATCCAAACGAAACCCCCCTAGGCTTCAGCCCATGACCACAACTCAGAAGACCGAATCCTCTGCTTTCGAGTCACCTTGGCAAGTGAGATGTCTCAGCTGCTAGCGGCTTTGAGCTCGGAGCCCTTGGGTTTGGAGTTTTTTTCCCTCCTACCTAGCAAGGACGCAGCCCGCGTTGCAGGGTGTCTTGGTTGAACTGCTGAACAAGCCGTGGTTGTCACAGCGAATGGTTTGGAGTTTTGGGGTGTTGGGTTTCGGGGTGAAGGGTTGTTTTGGGACTAGGGCTTCGGGGTTTTATAAGTGCTACTAGGGTTTTTGGTGTTAAGGGCAGTTTGATGGGAGAAGGTCCACTCCCATCACAGGGCAGTGGCCAACCAAAAACTTCAGTTCTTGTGTTCCAAAGGCAGCCAGCACTCGAGAAGCATAGAATACTCCCGAAGCATTTCACGATGAACACAATATCCAAGAATGCTGCAAGCCGTGCCAACCCCACTACCACAACCCCACTTCCAGGATACCACCATCAACAAAACTTCAAAGTCTCAGCCGCTCAGGATGGGCTGCGCTCTTGTCCCGCAAGGCCAGCCATGCTGTCTCTCTGTCTCTCTCTCTCCCTCCCTCCCTCTCTCTCTCTCTCTCTCTCTCTCTCTCTCTCTCTCTCTCCGAATCTTGTACAATTCTACGTTCAGCCCCCTGAAACCTGGCTGCACCTTTATACACATCCCGGACCCGAAAAGCTCCTTACGCTTGGAACCCAAAGAAAGTCCGATGAATGTGTAGCTCCCAAAGACGAGGCACACAGGGCTTCTACGGCTGGCCAGCAATCGGAATCCGAAACCTCCGCAAGTGGTTGCTGCATCGGGACTTCAGGGTTGCAATGAAAGGCTTCATGTAGGATACCAGGTACACTACATCCCCAGGTTCAAACAATTCCACTGCCGATTGGGGGTACGAAAGCTACACAGCACAGCAGTGCTCCGCAGAATTCCCTGCTTGTCTTGGAGGGTTTCGACCTCGCGTGGGGCCCTGTTCACCAAACAGGCACGGTGTCTTTGCAGGCAACTAAAGAGATGAAGGAATGATGCTACCAGCTGCTACAGTACCATTCTGTCAACTCTGGCTTTTCCCTTCCTTGCGCCCGCATCTACAGCCCACACTCGAAGCTTGCGCCTCGGGTGGGTCCGCCTCCGGTCGAAGTTCCTGGCGGATTTGTTTTGCCACTCACAGCCGGGCATGACTGGTTGAGAGTTTCCAGGCTGGGCGCGAGGAGAGTGGCCTTCCTCACATGCCGTGATACAAGCCAGTTCGCACAGCAACGCCATCTCTGGGCCATCTCTACACTTTCCAGTACCTTTTGCATTAAACAAAAAACCAACGGGCACAAAGGAATGCAACTCCAGCTAGCTTCACATAGCAACTTCGCCGGCGTCATACCGCGAAGCTCTCCAATATGGGAGATATGTCAATGTATGTGTATATATATATAGACATATTCGCACATAGGGTGTTATTATGAAGACAGCGTCTTGTGGTAGACTGCACTGTAGTCATGCGGGGACTATATACAAATCTTATTGGGGACGTTTTGGGGAATCTGGCAATGGCGCATCACCCCGAAACTTCTAGATGAAGCTCAGCTAAGCTCGATGTCTGCACCTCCAGATCGGGATCCACCTCGGGATGAATTTCCTGGCCGAGGAGTCCGGAGGTTGCAAGCTGTAAGGATTTTGAGGTCGAAGGTCTTCGTATTTGGCCTGAGCTTCGGGGGGCCCTGTGAAAGCTTAGGCTTAGGCTTTATGTGGAAGATGCGGCCCGCACTGACTTGATGTAGTGCATCATGTTGGATACATGGAGCTCTTTCTGACGGCAAAGACGGCCAGCGCTGCCGTTGTTAACCATGTTGCCTTGACTGCACACGTTGCCCGCATCACCCTTTACATCCAAAACATCTTAAGTTTTACCGCCTATGCATACGCCCTGTACCCCAAAGTCTAGAACTCAAACCTATACTCAACACATCCCAGCCCCATTACTTCCCAAACTCTCCACCCCTGTTGGCCCCACTCGTGTCAAGGCCTTGCTCCAGGGACTCAAGGCGTGAGCGCCATCCTCGCGCTGGAGGGCTTTGGGCTTAGGGTTGCGGTGTAACGGTTAGGGTATTCATGTTGTGCAAGAAAAGGGGCAGAGTAGAGCTTAGGGCTTCGAGGGTTTGGAATTTAGGGTTTCAGGTTACATCTAAAAGCACCCATCTCCGCTCCTTACAGGAGCACACCTAGATCAATTCAAGGTCTCAATGAACACCCCCGGTGGCAAAG